ACCAGTGTCAGCAACTCCACTACCTTGTCGCCAGACAGCGAGAGTTATGTGCTCTCAGCAAGAATATGCTGGCCGTTGTAAGCCAAGGTAGTCACTTATTTATGGTAGCATAAATGCCTCACCATTTGTCTTGCATTGCTTTAAGGCGCCCAGATGGGTCTTAAAGAATGTCAAAATCAGTTCGCTGGAAGACGATGGAATTGTTCTACACTGTTCGAAAAGGGTCTCTCGGTGTCCACTGAACACTTGCTGGACGATACGGATAAGAATAAAAATATTTCCGATAAGCTGACCAAATATCGTCGACTAGCGGACAGCAGATCCAAAATGCTTGCCGACTCTCCTCTTGAAGTGGAAGACGTTGGCGACGTATTTGGTGGCATCCTTAAATTCCGTAAGTTATGCACCTGTTGTTTGAACACATTCCTTTTCTTTGCAGATTGTTCTCTTAGAACCAAAATTCGATATGTTATCACAATGAGAGTGACTTGTTTCTGAACAGTAGCTCTGGCAAATGTTCATTTCTGCATTTCCAGGTGTATATATTTATTTTTTTCAAGAGCGTGTAACAGTACAAAAATAGTTTTCAATTTTTCTTCCTCTTCATCCGACCGTTTTTCTTTTACAATAACCAAGTTTAACATGCAGCACTTTCTGCATCCGTCCTGCGAATGTATAACAGCCAAGTAACAATCACAGCTGAAATCTGCTTCCTTTCAACAGCATCATTTGTCCTTAAATTCATCAAAATATTGCGCTATCTTAATATAATGACGGCACAGCGACACAGCAAGTAGGAGGTTATCCTTGAGCTACCGAGGTGCCGAGTTTAAATTCAATGTTCGCTCAAGAAACAACCTTTGTTTAAACCGAAAATTCCATTGAGTAAGGTGTTAATCCACGTTACTTCAGCGTAACCACTCGAGAAATGGTATTTTAGCCGGTGACCTATGAACGATTGGGACGGAATTGTATTCTGGTCTGTTCATATCAGAATGAACGAAGTGTCGGCCAGGCTGTCTTGGGCGAGCTCCCTTGTGGCTGCATTTCGTCTTGATCCACTTAATGGCTGATTTCATTATTTAGCATAATTATCAGATGATATAACCTGGTGTATTTGTTTTAATTTAAATGTTAACCGTGGTCAAAATCTTACTCGAATTTTGACTGGGAAATGGTAAATGTCCGTTTTTTAAAATTCGATACTCAAAAACTTCACGCTGAGGTTCTCACAACAATTTTCACATTTTCAAAGAAATGCTCAATTAGCATTTACTAAGAGTCCCATCGCGAAGTCTATTTGGATACCAGGTGACAAATTTAGAGTTGATTTTCCACTAATAACGCAGAGTTCAAGTGCAAATGTTCCACAACTTTTTAATTAACTTGAGACAACGGTTATAGTAGGTTCTTAGTTTTGTTTTCAGGTTACGAACCTAACATCGTTTCCTCACGAGTTTCAAATGAAAAAAATCTAAAACAACGGTAACATCAATCATTGTTGTTTCCAACTGTAATCCTGCCTTTCAGATTGAAAGTCCTGAATCAGTTTCCCCATCTGGTAATATAATTCATAAACGTACAACTCTGACTTATCAGATGGCACCATTGTAAGGTCGTACATTTGCCATTTTTTTCTCAGTCATCACCTTCTACTTGGAGATGATTTCGTATGCACAAACATATTTTCACCATGCTTTGTTCGCCGATGAATGCATATGGGGGCCTATGATTCTTTTCGCGTATAATTTCATACCGCCTGTATGAAACTGCCTAAAAACGCTCTGTTGACTCTGATTAGCCATAGTCTTTTCAGCCGACCGACCCTTCTCGTGGCCTGGTCTCTGCAATGGGTCTGACTGATTGGATTGTGATCAGAAAGGTTTGCAGAAATGACGGAAATCCGTCTTAAAATTGAGCAGCTTATGTTGCTGTCTTAAAAAATTATTCCGTTAGAAGATAATTCTGTTGTTCGATGATTCGCCCTCCATTTTAATTACGTCTACTTCGAGGTAATTTTGCAGCGAACCCCAAATGGGGAGAAATTCTAAATTCTGCTGCAGTTCCAAAGCTATAGTGAACGTCATGAAAATATTTAGTTATGACTGCTTTGAGGATTAATACTGACCTTTGCCTTAAATTGTTTCTTGCGAATTTCTAGTCATCTTATTTTTCACTTAGCCGACCTGCCCTAAATGGATGTTTGGAGAATTTATGAAAAATGCTTATGCCCTGTCTCCTGAATTGAGGAAGAAACTCTTTCCACTGCTCCGATATCACGTATCCGATGGCAATAGTCATAATACTCTTTCATATGAGTCAAGCGCAACTGATCGTTTTCAGCTGTCGATCACACGCAAAGTTCACGAAATAACTTTTAAGCAACCCGGAACCCAGAGTAGGTGCTAGCGCATACCCACTAATATAGAGATGTATTATTGGTCATTTGTACTTCACATAACCAGGCTTGTCAGACGGTCAATGAAGTATGAACCTGAGAATATCATTGTTTTGTCAAAATTTGTGTTTATTTTGCCTCTGTGAAGATATGAATCCTATTTGGCAAAGCTATTATATGTTAGAATAAATGAATGAATGAAAGAAAGGAAGATGTTAGAAGTGCAAAGATTCGTTGGACCATGTTTCCATTGTCTCTTAACCGCCAATTTTCAGTTGATTACAGACACGATTGAGTACTGCAATAAATTAAATTGGATCTTTAGTTACGGCAAAATAGAACCATTAATTTTTGCATTATTCCTTTACTGGTTACTCTATGGTTAGTAGGCGTCACTAACACTGGTGTACCAGTTCAAGTAAGGTTCGGCGAATGAGTGTTTATGAATGTGGCAAAACCTGAAGAAGATGTTGACCAACGAATAGGAATGACTAGACAATTTCTGTGTGTAGACCACGGTAAAACTAAGCGCAAAGACGAAGCTAATGATTTTCAAGTCGATTTTCTTTGCCATTCTCACTCAAGTTTACAAGTCATGCTTTATGGGCAAAAAAGACAATCGTCTATTTTCTGTCCATAGAAACAGGCGCCTTGAGAAATATCGCAGGACGTCTCGATGCAATTCGTAGCTCAGAGACTGCTTGAGTCCTTAAAATCTAACTGCTACTTCTCACAACTGAGAGGCCATATCAATGGCGGTAAGGGGATTACCCTATTATTCTTCCTTGCCGAACCCATCAGGCAGAGAAACTTCAAGAAATCCAAAATAACCTTGAGAATGTGCGCCAACTTAACCAGACTAGTTATTAATCCTGATATCGTTCAGACAGTCATGAATGTCAATGGACCCTCTGAAGCCGTTATTCCCTAACCTAATAGGACTTAAGGCATCAAAAATTTATAGTGACCTGGGTGCCGTAGCCTTGATAGAAAACGCAGTCACTGATCTTGAACCTCAATGCGATTACTAACATATGTTGTTATTTAGGTTCTATTATATGTATTGTGAATGCATTGGTCAAATTTATGGCAAACCATCTTATCGAAACCTTTAATCGGATACGTATAATGAACGGTTACATATTAACATAAGTTCGTCACTCATTATTGATTCTTAGTTGTTAAGATTGCTTGCCATCGATTAATATTTCTTCATCCAGGTATTCTGAGGCTTTGCATGAACTAGTGTCAGCAGAGAAAACAATGATAAACTTTTTTTCTCTCCAGGGCTTTCTATTTAAAGAAAACATCTTATTAAGAAAACATCTTATTAAGATGCAGTGTAAATTTTTGAAGACAAAAAACACCCAAAGTTTATTGAACATGACAAGCTCAACTTATTTTTAGTCTATCGCACTGCAAACTGATCTAGCTGATGCACTAATTGCTAATTCCCCTAGGGGCTAATACTCCGAAACCGAGCGCTGGTGAAATTAATCGAAAAAATAAGTCAGTCACGTGAGCTGTAATAATGGCTGGACTGATACGGTATACCTCTGATTGGCTGACCTCAGAACTCTGTTTCACAACCTACTTCATTAAATTACCTCTCTCACGGTTGACATACCTCAACCGTTCAGATAGTAATTATTGCTCCGTTGTGAGCAGGTGATGAAGATTTGGCCTTC